GAATATTAAATGAGACAGACATTGCAGCCAAATTAGCGTGTAACAAGTTTGAAGTTGAATTAGATCTAGGTATCCCCATCTCTGCTGTCAAAACTGTATTGGTCCAAACATTCAGATCTGATAGGAAAGAACTTACTGACTCCCAACGACTTGAAAGTACTAGTATAAAAAGCTATGATTTGTTCAGATCTGAAACCTACATCTATGGACAGCACAAAACGTCCACTAGACTGTGCGACACAGTGGTTGCAAGGATCAGGTTGGGTTACCGTTACCTGTGGCAGGTGGCTGCAGGTGACGGGTCTCCCAATCCTGAGCACTCCAGTTGCAAACTCTGCGAGCAGGAACTACGGCATGATCTCCCGCACTACATCACTGAATGCCCAGTTATTAGACCTTTCAGACCAGTTGGCATGAGGTACCTGGAGCTTTGCAATTACTTTATTCACTCTCGTATTCTTGAAGATATCCTCACAGTATACCCAAAATTTGCCAGTGCAGGCTATTAAACACATGGCTCTGTATGACTAACCATCCTGCGAGATGGGGACTTGTATTACCACTGCTACCTTATTCAATCTTGTGTTGTTGATATCCTCAAAATGCATCCGGAGTCTGCCAGTGCAGACCGCTTATCACATGCCTCTGTATGACTAACCATCCTGTGTGATGGGGATTTTTTAGCATCACCTAGTTAGCTTTTTTGACACACTGTACTCCACTTCATATAGTCTAGGGTAGCTGCACTAATGCAGATGTACCTCATATTTTAATAAAAAGAAAAAATGTAATAATACACACAGAAATCACAATAGCGTGATGCATCAAATGAACAAATCCACAAGGGCCGTGACGAGGATTCGAACCTACGTCCGAGATAATCCCAGACGTTGCCTTTATCGACTGAGCTACGACATGGTAAAAGAGTTGAAATCGAAGTTCTACTGAACTTACTGGATCCTGCAGCCTCTCCGAGACACAAACCATAAAGGCAGCGTCTGGGATTATCTCGGACGTAGGTTCGAATCCTCGTCACGGCCCTTGTGGATTTGTTCATGTGTAATAATACATTTTCTGAGAGGGGAGTGACGGGGAAGGAATAGAGGGGAGAAAGAGGAGAGGACGAGAGCAGGGAAGAGGAGGGAACAAGAGCAGGACGAGGGGGCGGTTAAGAGACCCAGGCACAGCCAGGTACCCACTTCTAGTACTGTAAACATGGTACCGGAAAATTATTGAGGGAGCACAAAATTTTAATTGGATCTAGTCTGTGTTTTTTATCTAAATTTACTTGAAGACCACTATCTGAATATTTTTTCCATTTGTAATTTAAACTAAAGCATCGTTTTGGCATTTACGGATTCAGAGAGGGTAGGGGGGGGGAGTCGATTTAATGGGTTTATTACCCCTGTATATTTACCTACTTAAAATTATCTGTTAGATTAAGGACCTGCCCGAAACGCTGCGTGTACTAGTGGCTTTACAAGATTATAAACACCATGCTATGTATTCTCTCAAACCCAATGTACCTTCTTGTATATAAATAAATAAATAAATAAATAAATAAATAAATAAATAAATAAATATGTTTGAAAGCATCTCCTGTTCTCTATGCTATATTGTGTTTTATTGAGCGTGAAGTCCCTCGTGTAAGTAATATTGTACCTGTTAAAAAATTATTTGCCTTAATGTTTTCTAATTTCATAATTTTATTGATCAGCATGAGATCAGCCCTGTCGTGTCTGATTAGCAGATTTGTTAGTTCTGAGACCCTCAACTTTTCGCAGCATGAAAATTGGCTTAGTTTTGAGATGATTTTTTGTTGCTCTCCCCTGAACCTTTTCCCCATGCGGTTATGACTTTGTGTAGGGAAGACCGCCATCCATGGATACAACAGTCCAGGTGAAGCAGTAAAAGAGATTTGCGCAGCTAAATGTCATCTATTTTTGTCTTGAAGCCAAAAATTCATTTCATTATTCCAAAGGTTAGGTTGATTTTTTTTGTTTACCGCTACTCCTACTTGCAGCTAGGACATCTCTCAATGTGACTGGTTTAATATTAAACCAAGATTCCTTATATTTCAACTTCCTGTGTTGTTATTTGCCTTACGTGTTAAGTCTTGTAGTCCTCAATGCTGAAGAGCATTTGCCAACCACCTGACCATTTGTGGATTTCGTGTAGATTCTTTTGCAAGGCCTTAATATCGTTTTTATATCCCACTTTCTCATAGATGTTTGTGTTAGTGTGAATTTGATGTTGTCTTTTGTGGTGATGTTGATCCATAGTTCAACTGATCTACTACTAGAAATTTTAATCAAATATCTCCAGTTTGCTAACTGTAGGTAGTAAATGCAGGTGATTAGACCCTTTCCACTGTTGCCCACTATAGGTGGTAGATGGGGTGCATGATAAGCAAATTAAATTATGAAACTAACTCGTCGTAAATGAAAGTTGATTAGCTTACAGATTGTACTTGTAGTTGGTCTCGAACCCATTACATACATTAAATGTTGTAACTAGCTTATCAATACTAGCTAAATGAATTTTGGGGTTCAGTTCCTAAGCCCATGATGTGCCTGCTTAACATTTTACATTACCGGAGGGGTATGGGGTACGTAATAAATAAGCAAACTAAATTATAACATTACAAAAAAGGGCTGACCTTAAACTGGAACCTCACGGAACGTGCCCTGCAATATTTGTTTTTTCAGTTTAATTCCCTTACGCTGAGGACGAACCTTAGCTTTCTGCGCTTTATATATATTTTTGTAATACTTTGAATGATTTTACTGTTGATTCCACGGGTTTGCAATTTCTCGGCCAGTCTTTCGTGTCATGATTAATTTAAAGCATTTGAGAACGTAATCAAGCGGCCAACATGCTCGAGTTAAGTTTAATCAACGTTAATTCAATGTTATTAACCTTGCTTGCTCGAAGGGATGGGGTTGTGCACTACATCAATTGGAAATCCTTTAGATGTACAGATGGTAACTGCTTCAAGAAATACGAGCAGGTGTGGGAACCACAAGCTACATTTTCTATGGGTAACTTGTGTATGCAACGGCAGCAGCAATATCTGCCCATTGTATGTAATATTATTAAATGGTGTCGGGTTTTCCGACAGCAGGTTTGTAAGGTAGGATATGTTTTTGACTAAACCATGAAATGATGCTTTTACAAAGTTGTGCACTGTGAATGGTGGACAAATGTGTTTCCTTACAATTCTCTCAATGAACTTGCAAATATGAGAGGCAAAGTTCATTGGTCTATTGTTTTCTTATACCCTTCTTCCTTTCATGAAGACAGAGGGACTCTTAGCATATTTCCAGTCTTGGCAGACTTTTACTTAGTCTAAGAATTTCCAAAGTTGACGTTCAGTGGCAGACACAGTTGATCACTATCTACTATTTTGGACCGAATTACATGTACACTCTTATATGTTGAGTACAGTAACTTGTCGATGTTCTGCTGGATGTAATAGGTATATCTCCTAATTCTTTTCCTGTTTCAGACATCTTTGGGGGTGCCGGAAATTGTCTATCATTTATAGTCACTCTAGATGAATTTCGTTTACTAGGCTACCTATGCCATGTTCTAGTCTGCTTCCAATTATGCTTTACAAAACTGGTTAAGATAGAATAATATAAATATACAAAATAGTTTGATATTAAATTCTTTTAAATTTCCATTTCTTTCACATTGTTATAGACGTTAATCCAGACTATAAGGTCCAATATAACTTGCAAAAGGGCAACAACTTCAATTATGAAGCTGTTATGTAGGACAGACAAAGGAGATGCATTTCACACTTATGGCAGTAAACTCATAGAATCACTTACCAGCCAAAGCCGTAAATTACAAAACAATACTTCAATTAAAATACAATTGAAACAATAACGACCTATGCATGTATCTGGGTTGATGAGGGAGGACCATCATGAAGCCTACTAGGCTTCATGACCCTGTCGAGGCTATTACAGATGGCTTCTCTTTAATTCTGGTAATACACTGTGACGTTCCCATGCCTTGCGTATAATGTTCATCTCACTGATTAGATTTGATCGAATATATATAAATATTCAGCCTGTATTGTTAACCGCAGCCATATGTTTAGGCAAAAACTGTATCTATTGTTTATCTAATAGGCAAATTCCCAAGCTAATTTGTTATACATACATATAGAATGTGAGTTGATACCTGATGTTGTTTATACATACAGTTCACAGGTATTTCTACATAAATATTTACTAAATACTTTCTGCCCTTTAAATGCACTTAAAGGGCAGTCTAATATGTCTTATCGCGTGGTTTTAATACTAGAGAATAGGATTCCAATATAGATCACAGGTCTAGTTTTACTTAATGTTTGTTACATGTAGCTTTGATAACTTTGCCTGTGATATCGAGCCTAACCGGTTCTCGCACTTAATTTTGACGTTATCGGATTAATGAGCCTAGGATAGGATACATGGGTTGGCAGGTTCCAACGCTTCAGGTTAGGCAAAATCACTTCATATCTGACGCTTTTTAAATTGTGGAAAGGGCTGACGGGAGACGGTATTCCCAGGAAGGAGAGTCTGAAACCCCCTGACGGAGTCCAGCAGATCCTATGTGAGCGAGAACCAATATGATAATCTACTTGCCCTTCGGCCGGTTCAGTTGCGTGACAATATTTGAAGAATAACCCGCTCTCAAGTTCCCGCTTTTCAGACGATTCCAACTGAAATGGAACCGAGGCTTGTGCTGGCTCGATCTGCAGTATACCGGAATGAACGTGATATTTGAAACCGTCTCTTCCATGCGTTATTGATGGCTAGCAGAGCCGGTGCGTAGTGCGGCCGGCCATATCTAAGGTTACCAAAGACACTTTTAAGTTACCTTCAAACCCCGTCTAATACCCCACGGCTTTTATATGTTATATCCATCAGACTTTGATTTAAAAGGTCTAGACAGTGAGAGGAGGTTATCTTTTAGGCTTAGTTGTTACAAGCGAGGAATGTAGAGAAAAGGTTGGCTGGTAACTGGGCGAGCGGCCGGTGGATGTTAACAGCTCCAGCGCCGCCGGCCGCCACTCCTCCAGCCTCACCCGACAAGCTAGCACTCTCTTCAATCTCCGTCCACCACTCGACTTTATTCTTCAACAACAATGTCAGGTTAGTACCGGTGTTGTTCAGGTCATAGGTCAATTCAAAAGTTTATGCGAGCTAACAGATCTTTAACTTAATTAAACCTAAGGTACTACAGTTTTTTTTTAGTCATAACGTTGAAGGCAATGAGTTGACGAAGATATCGAAGGCTAGGTAGGATAGCGGTAAATTATAATGCAATAGTGGGGTCAGTAAGGCTAGTAGGTGAGGCTAGACCTCACCTTCCCGTAGTCACTGTTAATTAACCTTAAGCACCTGGGAGCAATGACCTGTGCCAACTAGGCACAATATCCAAGAGTAACGGGAATTCAACATTGCTAATGTTGATTCAACGTTAATTCAACGTTGTAAAAGCTCAGTGGTGTTAGCAGGCAACATCTGCAGTGTTGCAAGCTTCCGGTCTGTTGTCGGCAAGATTTGTATCCTGACTCAGGTGCGAGGACAGTTTCGTAGTATATTTCAATTCTTCCTTTGTTATTTTTTTTAATATACCCTGCTGAATTAACATGTGAATAAATTAAACTAACTTTTGCAATTTCCTCACTGACCACAAGACAAATTACAGACTTTGTCAGCAAAACTATACACAGGCTATAGATAGCAATACACATTGCTATCTAATTATTTGTAAAAAAAACTTGGAGTTTGGAGACAAATATCACTAATCAAATGAAGCACAGTGTTTTTTAACAGTAGTTTAGTTCATTTATTATGCACCCCATACCCATCTTGTGGGCGGTAGTGGAAAGGGTTACAGAGGCACATAATGGGCTCAGGGACTGAACCCCACAATTCATTTAGCTAAGCAAGTTACAATCTTGATGAGCTAGTTACAAAATTCAATATAAGTCGTCACATCAACAATGGGTTCGAGATCGACCTCAAGTACAGGTTCTAAATTAAGCAACTGACATATGTGGAGAGCTAGTGTCAAAATGTATATGTTTGTCCTGCACACCGCCCCCCATCCAGTGGGCAGCGGTTTTTTTGTTTTTAACAATACAAAAAAATAACAAAATAATAATTATTATAAATTATCATTAAAAATCTAGACTCCATAGAGTCTATTCATAGAGTTACATTGCCCACATAACAGATTTCTACAGAATAGATTTTGATATGCTTTCCAAGATTACTATAATCATTTATCATAACTGTTTGGAGGGAAAGGGGTTTTGTTGATATAAGCAAACTACTAACTCAGCGTGTTGTTAACCCAACACCAGCCAGTACGGTGGATGCCAGCTGATTACCTCATCACCCGACACAGATAAGCTTAATCCAAATACAGCTGCAGTCTGGCTTATATTTCCGGATATAAAATAAATAATAAATCAGCCCGTTATGTAGATTTGACCATAAAACTTACAACTGAACGGTACAGCTGACCACATAGCTTACATCCGAATAGAATATTTGAGCATATAGCCTCATCCGAACAGTATATTCGACCATATAGCCTCATCCGAACAGTACGTTTGACCATATAGCCTATATCCAGCCATATTGTCTACATTCGAACAGTATATTCGACTATATAGCCTCATCCAAACAGTATGTTTGAACATATAGCCTATTTCCAGCCATATTGCCTACATTTGAACAGCATATTCGACCATATAGCCTACATACGAACGCCACCCACCCACCCCCCATGAAAGTGAATCCTGTCTTCCTACAACGAACGTCGCTTTTCGCTCGTATGCGTTACTTAAGGCCAAAATTGGTCGTACTAGAACATGGAAGCGGTTCGCGAAAGTGACGTACTGTAACTGTCGCGAGCTGCTTAAGAGAAAGATCATTTAATTAAGATTAAGAAAATGTTCACTTAATCTTTCCATTTTTATTATTCGACGTTTCGTCGGCAATGTGACATCTTCAGGAGACACTGTAAAACTGACACAGCTATACTGACACAGCTATACTGACAGCTATAAGCTTAGTATAGTTGTATCAGTTTTATAGTATACTCTTGAAGATATCACAATGTTGACGAAACGTCGAGCAATAAAAATGGAAACATTAAGTGAACTAGTGTTTCTTCACCCTCCAGATGGTAGAAGTTATTTGCCTAGAATGGACGATATCCAAAAGAAATTTAATAATAGTCACAATGCTTTTGTGTTTAATGATACGTGTATTAGAGAAAACGTGCTCCTGTTTTTCTGTGTATAATAGTAATAGCATATATCTACAGGAAAGACTCTACCAATATATATATATTCAGTGCTGGATATTCAGTGTGAGCTGCCTGGACCAGAACCACACACTAGAAGGTGAAGGGACGACGACGTTTCGGTCCGTCCTGGACCATTCTCAAGTCGAGATTGTTTGCTATGAGGCGCTTCGCCGATGTTTAATCCTCCGTTGTCGTTGTATATGTCGATTATTTCAGATTTGTTAGGTAGGATTCCTCTGGTGATGACCTACTGGCGTGCAGAAATTATATGTTCTTTGATGGAGCCTTTTTTGTTTTTGCCCCTTCAAAACGATGTTGTCTTGCCTATATATTGAGATCGTTGGGCTGACTCACCATTTGGGCATGTGAAGGTCCCTTAGAATGCACAAACAGCATGCTTCATTAAGCAACATTACGGGCTAGTCATGCCCGTGCCACGTCTTGGGTGGCTTAATCTTTATCAATCAATCAATCAATCAATCATTAAGCAACATGTGATCTCATCACACAAGTCGCTCATCACCAAAGGTATCCTGACAAATAACTGAAATAATCGACAAACAACAACAATATAAGATTACACATTACCGAAGCATTACATATCAAACAAACTCGACCAGCAACAGCCTGCTAATACACTTACACAGCTCAACCACTTGGGCTGGACGGTAGAGCGAGGGGTCTCGTTTCATGCAGGATCGCCGTTCAATCCCCGACCGTCCAAGAGGTTGGGAACCATTTCTATCCCCCTTGTCCCATTCCAAATCCTTATCCTGATCCCTTCCTAGTGCTAAATAATCGTATGTTGTTGTTGTTTTAGATTCAGCTACTCGGAACAAAAGTTCCAAGTAGCACGGGTTATGGTGAGCCCGTAGTGGACTTACCTTGCACAGGAGCGGGGCTGTGACTTGAAATAATCGCAATAGCTTTGCGTTTTTCCCCTGCTAATACCTTCCTTCCTTCTATCATCGTCAAGACCAAGACAACACCCACCGCACTACCTCAGCCACCATAAGAATATGGGAAGGGGGGGTGTTGCATAGGGCCTAGTGACCCATGCAACACCCTATTCCCCTTATTCTCAGTTATATATTAGGCTGTTCCAGATAATTGTATCTTACGGGCTATTCATACCCGTGCCACCTCTTGGGTGGCTTAATTTTTATCAATCAATCAATAATTGTATCGACTTTTATTCTGTCCTTGAAAATGTTGACAGGATCTATGAAGCGCATCGCTTAGCGTCAGGCTGTAATAAAACCCTACAAGGAACTTTGGAGAGTTAAATTTTCAACTTCCTTTTCAAGTGAAGAAGAACATAAGAAATATAGAGATTCGCGCTAGAATCACGCGTTAGTTCAGTGTCATTGACAAATTTGTGAAGGATACGGTTTACTGCCATGTGTAAACAGTTTATGTATTGTGAACCTTGCGGCCTCAAGGTGGTCTTGCCGCTGAGTCCCGAGTCCTCCCGAGGACTGGCCACACACTGATTGATTGATGAAGATTAAGCCACCCAAGAGGTGGCACGGGCATGAATAACCCGTAAAACCATACACTGCATTTAATGCTGGCCTTTATACACCCAATAGGTCCTTACTCATTCACACGGGAGACATCTCCCGTCACGCAGGGTGCAGTCGCACCTCCACAGATCTCCAGTATCAGCTCTTGATACTGGTAATGGCTCAAAAGGGCTACCACTTACGGGCTATTCATGCCCGTGCTACCTTTTGGGTGGCTTAATCTTCATCAATCAATCAATCAATTACTCATTCACTAACAACTTTACTGGGCCCGGGCAGTTTGTCTTTTAAGCAATTTCTCAATGTTATGTCAAACTTGATATCGTATGTTTGGAAGAGGAGGAGACTTGTCTGGTCGTAGCCATTTTCTTATTCCTCTTGTCGTGGTGGACATAGGTGTGAAACTGATCGACAAACGGATTGACCAGTTCCGTTTGTCGTTCACTGTCACAGAGTAGGCAGCGTTGATGTTCTGCAGTGTAGTGATGGTCCTCTGTACAGATGCTACACTTGGTCTGGCGTTGTGGGCACTTCCCGCTGTAATGAGAATATTCGTAGCATGTGAAGCACTGTTTTAGCTTAAAGTAGCGTTCCTTCGCGAGGTTTGATGGGGTCGTTTTGTCAAAGCATTTGAAGCCATTGGTGGCGGCGAAGGTGGCCGCGGCAGCTGTGGTGAAGGTCACCTTCAGAGTTGGACCTTGGTTATCGATGTTAGGAATGGTCCATGCTGAGACTCCCGTCATGGATGAGGTTTTCGTCGTTGATGCTGGCGATAATTTCATCCGTTTGTCGATCCGTAATCCAGCTCACTTTGCTGTCTGAAATGTAGCGACGTGGTAGGGCGAGGAGGAAGCTTGCGTCTTGAAGGGCTGCCGAGTTTGTAGTAGAGAACGGTTGTTCAAGTTTTCATCCTGGGAGTAAAAAGAGTACAACTCCCTCTTGACGAACGTCGTTGGGTGCTGTGATGGTGGTGTTGGTGATGCTCACAAGTTCACTCCTGGCGAGAGCGCGGTCCCCTCGGAACCGAACCTTCACTTTGTGGATCGCTGGCTGGTGCCATTAGCGAAGGCTAACCGAAGCAACACATCTAGCACCCTGTCAACGGGCCACAGTACCCATGGAAGTGTGCTCCCTCACTCACTGTGAGACTAGCCAATCACTGGTGAGGAGACGGCTAAATTCAGTCGTAATTTGTAAAAAGGACGGGTTGGAGGAGCAGCCTTAGGCACGTCCGGCCCCGATGGCTACTGGCGCTCAACCTCTGATCTTCTGTCTGTGACCTGCCTGTGTGTGCTTTCGTT